GCAAGTATAACTTTCTGAGTGAAAAGTGATTGATTCTGTCTGAGAAAAAACCCTGTACACATGCTAGATCCTGTTTAACTGCTTTGAAAAACATTTAAAGAGTAAGATAAAAATATACTTTGCTTTCATTCCCTAAGACAAATGGATTGAACAGTAGTGGTAAGGTATCATTTAAAAAGAGGATGTTCAAGGTAAAGATTCTTTTACTTTGGAGTATTTTTTTGTTTCTTCATATGTACTCATGAAGCTACATGGGTTTTGGAATATTTATGTTTAGGCTTTGCATACATATAAAGGATGTAGATAGTTATTTGTTGGGAGATCTCCTCTTTATTTCTTAGGAATCTGTAATTTTAACTTGGATTATTTCAACTTCTTCCTCAGTTCTCATATTAAAGGGTATTCTGTCAAAACTTGCTGAGAGCTTTATAGTCTGTCTTTTGTATCCAGGGGTTCTGCATCTGTTGATTCAACCACCTGTAGGTCAAAAATATTTGGGGGAGAACGTGGATGGTTGCATCTGTACTGAATGTCTACAGACCTGTTTTCTTGTCATTATTCTCTAAACAAAGTAAGGAGGAAGATGTGCATAGGTTACATGCAAATAACTACACTATTTAAAAACTATTTAATATAAGAGATTTGAGCATTCTTGGATTTGGTGCCTGCGTGTGGTCCTGGAACCAATCCCCCATGGATACTGAGGGATGACCATACTTTCATTTCTCTTTTCCCATGTAGATTTCTTAGGTATCAAGTAATCTCATAAGGTGTTTTTTTTTTTAAGACAGAGGATTGCTCTGTCTACCAGTCTGGAGTACAGCTCACTGCAGCCTCCACCTCTCGGGTTCAAGCAATTCTTCTGTCTCAGCCTCCTGAGTAGCTGGTAGTACAGGCACAGGACACTATGCCCAGCTAATTTTTGTATTTTATTTTTCAGTTTTTCTACTCTTTTAAATTTTTATTATATTTTTAAATTGCATTTTAGGTTTTGGGGTACATGTGAAGAACATGCACCATTGTTGCATAGGTACACACATGGTAGTGTGATTTGCTGCCTTCCTCCCTTTGACCTATATCTGGCATTTCTCCCCTTGCTATCTCCCCCCAACTCCCCACCCCCTGCTGTCCCTCCCCTATTTCCCCCCAACAGACCCTAGTGTGTGGTGCTCCCCTCCCCATGTCCAGGTGTTCTCATTGTTCAACACCTGCCTATGAGTGAGAACATGCAGCGTTTGATTTTCTGTTCTTGTGTCAGTTTGCTGAGAATGGTGGTTTCTGGGTTCATCCATGTCCCTACAAAAAACACGAACTCATTGTTTTTGATGGCTGCATAATATTCCATGGTGTATATGTGCCACATTTTCCCTGTCCAGTCTATCATCGATGGGCATTTGGGTTGGTTCCAGGTCTTTGCTATTGTAAACTATGCTGCAGTGAACATTCATGTGCATGTGTCTTTATAGTAGAACTATTTATAATCCTTTGGATATATACCCAGTAATGGGATTGCTGGGTCAAATGGAATTCCTATTTCTAGGTCCTTGAGGAATCGCCACACTGTCTTCCACAATGGTTGAACTAATTTATACTCCCAACAGTGTAAAAGTGTTCCTATTTCTCCACATCCTCTCCAGCATCTGTTGTCTCCAGATTTTTAAATGATTGCCATTCTAATTGGCGTGAGATGGTATCTCAATGTGGTTTTGATTTGCATCTCTCTAATGACCAGTGATGATGAGCATTATTTCATATGTTTGCTGGCTTCATGTATGTCTTCTTTTGTAAAGTGTCTGTTCCTATCCTTTGCCCATTTTTGAATGGGCTTGTTTTTTTCCTGTAAATCTGTTTGAGTTCTTTATAAATTCTGGATATCAGCCCTTTGTCAGTTGGGTAAACTGCAAAAATTTTTTCCCATCCTGTTGGTTGCCGATTCACTCTAGTGACTGTTTCTTTTGCCATGCAGAAGCTGTGGAGTTTGATTAGGTCCCATTTATCTATTTTGGCTTTTGTTGCCATGTTTTGGTCATGAAGTCCTTGCCTACTCCTATGTCCTGAATGGTTTTGCCTAGATTTTCTTCTAGGGTTTTTATGGTGCCAGGTTTTATGTTTAAGTCTTTAATCCATCTGGAGTTAATTTTAGTGTAAGGTGTCAGGAAGGGGTCCAGTTTCTGCTTTCTGCACATGGCTAGCCAGTTTTCCCAACACCATTTGTTAAACAGGGAATCCTTTCCCCATTGCTTGTTTTTGTCAGGTTTGTCAAAGATTGTATGGTCGTAGATATGTTGTGTTGCCTCCGATGCCTCTGTTCTGTTCTATGGGTCTATATCTCTGTTTTGGCACCAGTACCATGCTGTTTTGATTACTGTAGCCTTGTAGTATAGTTTGAAGTCCAGTAGTATGATGCCCCCCGCTGTGTTCTTTTTGCTTAGAATTGACTTGGCTATGTGGGCTCTCTTTTGGTTGCATATGAAGTTTAAGGTGGTTTTTTCCAGTTCTGACAAGAAGGTCATTGGTAGCTTGATGGGGATAGTGTTGATTCTGTAAATTACTTTGGGCAGTATGGCCATTTTCACCATATTGATTCTTCCTAACCATGAACATGGAATGTTTCTCCATCTGTTTGTGTTCTCTCTGATTTCGTTGAGCAGTGGTTTGTAGTTCTCCTTGAAGAGGTCCGTTACATTCCTTGTAAGCTGTATTTCTAGGTATTTTATTCTCTTTGTAGCAATTGTGAATGGCAGTTTGTTCTTGATTTGGCTCTCTTTAAGTCTGTTATTGGTGTATAGGAATGCCTGTGATTTTTGCACATTGATTTTGTATCTGAGACTTTGCTGAAATTGCTTATCAGTTTCAGGAGATTTTGGACTGAGATGGTAGGGTCTTCTAGATATACAATCATGTCGTCTGCAAATAGAGACAATTTGGCTTACTCCTTTCCTATTTGAATACCCTTTATTTCTTTTTCTTGCCTGATTGCTCTGGCTAGAACTTCCAGTACTATATTGAATAGGAGTGGTGAGAGAGGACATCCTTGTCTAGTCCCAGATTTTAAAGGGAATGCTTCCAGTTTTTGCCCATTCAGTATGATATTGGCTGTTGGTTTGTCATAAATAGCTTTTATTACTTTGAGATACGTTCCATCGATACCGAGTTTATTGAGGGTTTTTAGCATAAAGGGCTGTTGAATTTTGTCAAAGGCCTTCTCTGCGTCGATTGAGATAATCATGTGGTTTTTGTCTTTGGTTCTGTTTATGTGGTGAATTTTGTTTATAGACTTGTGTATGATGAACCAGCCTTGCATCCCCGGGATGAATCCTACTTGATCATGGTGGATTAGCTTTTCGATGTGCTGTTGCAATGGGCTTGCCAGTATTTTATTGAAGATTTTTGCATCTATGTTCATCATGGATATTGGCCTGAAGTTTTTTTTTCTTGCAGAGTCTCTGCTGGGTTTTGGTATCAGGATGATATTGGTCTCATAAAATGATTTGGGAAAGATTCCCTCTTTTTGGATTATTTGGAATAGTTTCAGAAGGAATGGTACCAGCTCCTCTTTGTGTGTCTGGTAGAATTCAGCTGTGAACCCATCTGGACCTGGGCTTTTTTTGTGTGGTAGGCTCTTAATTGCTGCCTCAGCTTCAGACCATGTTATTGGTCTATTCAGGGTTTCGACTTCTTCCTGGTTTAGGCTTGGGAGGATGCAAGTGTCCAGGAATTTATCCATTTCTTCCAGGTTTACTAGTTTATGTACATAGAGTTGTTTGTAATATTCTCTGATGATGGTTTGAATTTCTGTGGGTTCTGTGGTGATATCCCCTTTATCATTTTTTATTGCATCTATTTGGTTATTCTCTCTTTTCTTTTTTATTAATCTGGATAGTGGTCTATTTGGTTAATCTTTTCGAAAAACCAGCTCCTGGATTTATTGATTTTTTTTGAAGGGTTTTTCGTGTCTCTGTCTCCTTCAGTTCTGCTCTGATCTTCGTTATTTCTTGTCTTCTGCTATGTTTTGAGTTTTTTTGATCTTGCTCCTCTAGCTCTTTCAATTTTGATGATAGGGTGTCAATCTTGGATCTCTCCACTCTTCTCATGTGGGCACTTATTGCTATATATTTTCCTCTAGAGACTGCTTTAAATGTGTCCCAGAGGTTCTGGCATGTCGTGTCTTTGTTTTTGTTGGTTTCGAAGAACATCTTTATTTCTGCTTTCATTTCATTGATTATCCAGTCAACAGTCAAGAGCCAGTTGTTCAGTTTCCATGAAGCTGTGCGATTCTGAGTTAGTTTCTGAATTCTGAGTTCTAACTTGATTGCACTGTGGTCTGAGAGACTGTTTGTTATGATTTCTGTTCTTTTGCATTTGCTGAGGAGTGATTTACTTCTAATTATGTGGTCAGTTTTAGAGTAGGTGTGATGTAGTGCTGAGAAGAATGTATATTCTGTGGATTGGGGTGGAGAGTTCTGTAAATGTCTATCAGGTTTGCTTGTTCCAGGTATGAGTTCAAGTCCTGGATATCCATGTTAATTTTCTGTCTCGTTGATCTGTCTAATATTGACAATGGGGTGTTAAAGTCTCCTATTATTGTGTGGGAGTCTCAGTCTCTTTGTAAGTCATTAAGAACTTGCCTTATGTATCTGGGTGCTCCTGTATTGGGTGCGTATATATTTAGGATCGTTAGCTCTTCTTGTTGTGTCGATACTTTTACCATTATGTAACGTCCTTGTTTGTCTCTTTTGATCTTTGTTGCTTTAAAGTCTATTTTATCATAGACTTAATTTTTGTATTTTTTAGTAGAGATGGAGTGTCACCATGTTGGCCAGGCTGGTCTCAACCTCCTGGCCTCAAGTGATCCACCCTCCTCAGCCTCCCAAAGTGCTGGGATTAAAAGTGTGAGCCATTGTGCCCAGCTTCGTAATCTCATCAGGTTCTTATTAAATATTGCTTTATCTTCTGAATTTACATACCAATCTTTCTCTTTTTTTCTCTCTTTTTAAAAGGACCTTAAAGGCTTTGATCCGGGAGAGAAATACTTTTATAACACGTCATGGGGAGATGTTTCTCTCTGGGAACCTTCTGGAAAGAAAGTGGTATGTATTTTTTTGTATTTGGTTTTCATGTTTCCTTAAAAGTGAGGAATGAATGTAATTGTGGTCTAAAGAACATCACATGTATTGGGGTTTCCTGGTGAGTGAATGGGAAGGAGGCATAATGTAGCCTTTCAGGGAAGTGGCAAGAAACCAAGTCCAGTATGTGGTCAGGCAGGTTACTGATGCTCTGAGAGTTTTCTGTGTAGTGCAGAGTTGATACAGTGTTACAGTGAGACTATATTGTTTGTCCTTGATTTTAGGATGGTGTTGATTTAATAACTGTTCTGAGTAAAACAAAATGCCACTACATTAAGTGCATACGGTACATCCTGATTTCAGAAACTAAAGTAAAAATGTAGACTTTTGAATCAAGGAACAACATTTTAAATAATTAGAAACTTCAAGCTTTTAAGCAAATTCAGGCTAAAACATGAGCCATACTGCTAAGTTCTCATTAAAGTGTTTCTGGGACACCTTTCTACCAGTTGTTAGCACCTTCCTTGGTATCAAACTCAGCTCATCTCAGACTTGATTTGGCTGTTCCCTCTCACCAGCTTCTGTTGTCAAAGGCATGCTGGCCTTGGGAATTTGTTCTTTAAAATATTTCTGTAATTAGTTGTTGTCAGAATTTTTTTTTTGGTGGGGGCACAGGGTCTTGCTGTCACCCGGGCTACAGTGCAGGGGCATAACCTTAGCTCACGGTAGCCTCAACTTCTTGTGTTCAAAGTGTCCTTCCACTGCAGCTCCTGAGTAGCTGAGACTACAAGTACGTGCCGCCATGACCAGCTAATTTTTTTAATTTTTATTTTCGTAGAGGTGGGATCTCACTGTGTTGCTCAGGCTGTGCTTTGTCAGAATTTTCTGTGAAGGTATTTTGTAGCCACTTTCCTTGAGTCCCATTTTTCAGTTTCTGCCCCAGCACTCTCCTCTCTACCATGAGATGCAAGATTTTTTGAAACCCCTGTGATTTAGATGCAAGACTCCTTGAAACCGCTGTGATTTAGATGCAAGATTCCTTGAAACCGCTATGATTCAGATGCAAGACTCCTTGAAACCACTGTGATTTAGATGCAAGATCCCTTGAAACCGCTGTGATTTAGATGCAAGATTCCTTGAAACCGCTGTGATTCAGCCCTTTTCCTGAGCCTCGCTTGTGGCTGCTGCAGGATGCCTCATTTAGCTGATCTTGACTTCATGAATCTTAAGCCTCATTGTTTTTCTTATCTGAATTCTTAAAATATCTTGTAATGTAACTCGCAGTATATATAAAATTACATACTTCTCATTAAGAAACACTTTTTGAAATCCTGCTGCAAAGCAGCTAACAATTTTTGAGTGCTTGGTACAAAGAGGCAAAGTTAGGATTCTTTTCCTCAAATAGTTTATGTTCTTGCTGGAGTGAATAGGGCCTTAGGCATAAATAATTTAAATAACAAAGTTATTACTAACATAAGGATAATAGCAATATTAGAATAGGATAACAGAAATAGATAATATAAATAACAAAGCTACATAACAATTTGAAATACTAGAAATTGAATGTACTGGATACCACAGTCGGAATAAGGTAAAAGCACTGTTGCCTGGAGTGATGGAGACTGTGGTGCCGCTAGTTTTCGGCTCTTCTTTCCTAATTGGTCCTACTGCTTTAATTTTTCCCTGTGGACATAGGACTTAGGAACAGAGACATTTAGGGAGACATAGCAGGAAAGTTGTGTCATCAGGTTGGATTATGAGGCTTACATTACAGTGAGATCCTCAAGGGCTCATAGGAACAAGTGACACTTTGAGGTTTTGAGGGCAGAAAGGCTTGCTTAGGTGCTTAGGGGACTTCCTTACCGTGGGAGTCTAGAGGAGCAGCATGCAGGTGTGATGGAGAGATTACACCCTAGTCAGCAATCATTGTGTTCTGACAGCAAAGAACTGTGACTCCACCACTTCTCGCTAATTATTTCTTCTTCCTCTAGTACCAGTGAACTAATGTCTCACACTCAAGATTGTTTATGATTAGTCACTATTAGGCCATTTTTGTGTTGCTATAATGAAATACCTGAAGATGATTAATCTATAAAGAAAAGAGGTTTAATGAGGACATGGTTCTGCTGGCTCTACCAACATCTGCTCTGCTTCTGGTAGGTTCTTCAGGAAGCTAAAATCATGGTGTAAGCTGAAGCAGGAGCAGGGAGTATAAAACTCACCAGTGTTAATGAACCACTCATAAAACCAAGTGATACATAAACCATGTTGCAATATGAACGATCAGTTTTAAGGTACTTCCAGATTTCAGAGATGTTAAAATATGAAAAAATGTGCCTCTTTAGAATAAGTGAAATAGGTTTTTATTTTAGTCTATGTGGTCTGATGTTGTGGCTATTGTCCTAGGCTTATTATATGTCCTACCAGAAGTACTAGAACCTAAGATTTTGTGAACTGCTGATGAGACAGTAATGTGTTCGGATAATTTTTCTGATCTGTGCCCTAAGAGGAAAAGCTACATGAATAGGGAAGAGATAGGATGGCAAAATCTTGAAGAGGCCAGGGGTGGTGGCTCATGCCTGCAATCCTAGCACTTTGGGAGGCAAAGGTGGGCAGATCACTTGAGATCAGGAGTTTGGGACCAGCCTTCGCCAACATGGTGAAACCCCACCTCTACTAAAAATACAAAAATTTGCTAGGTGTGGTGGCCCATGCCTGTAGTCGCAGTTACTTGGGAGGCGGAGGCAGGAGAATCACTTGAACCCGGGAGGCATAGGTTGCAGTGAGCCAAGATCACGCCACTGCACTCCAGCCTGAGTGACAGAGTAAAGACTCTGTCAAAAAAAAAAAAAAAAAAAGGGCCAGGCACGGTGGCTCACACCTATAATCCCAGCACTTTGGGAGGCCGAGGCGGGTGGATCATGAGGTCAAGAGATTGAGACCATCCTGGTCAACAAGGTGAAACCCCGTCTCTACTAAAAATACAAAAATTAGCTGGGCATGGTGGCGCATGCCTGTAATCCCAGCTACTCGGGAGGCTGAGGCAGGAGAATTGCTTGAACCCAGAACGCGGAGGTTGCGGTGAGCCAAGATCGTGCCATTGCACTCCAGTCTGGGTAACAACAGCGAAACTCCGTCTCAAAAAAAAAAAAAAAAAAAGTAGAATGGGAGTGTGTGAGTGATAGTGAGCACACAGATTTATGAAAGGATGAGAATTAACCCTTGATCACTGTGATGCTGCACAGCCAACTCTTGGGTCTTAGATTAAGCTAGGTCTTAGCTTCCTAGTTTGTGGAACTGGAGTGCACGTGTTTTGTGGTTCACCAGCTCTGTGTTCTCAAGACTGTATCATGAGACCAAAGACTTCAGTGTGCTCTCAAGTTATTGCAAGCCAGCAAGTCTTACTGGATGTTAGAACCCTGTTGTATGCATGTCTGTTTTTAGGCCCTGAACTTGTTAAATTCCCTGAAATGTGCCTTAAATAAAAATTCCATATGGTCAGTGTTGTGTTCTGTGGCCCTACCCTTATCTGAGGGTCATCCACAGTGTGAGTTTAGGCTTACTCAGACTTTCTTTACTGTTTATCAGATAGAGTATTGGGTACCTGCATGGGCCAAACACTGTCCATTTCACTCCTACCTTCTCTAGAAATGGGGGAAATAAAAAGATAGTAATGATGGGTTTAACAGTTTGAAAGCTAGATTAGTTGTAGATAAATTCCAGAGGTTTTAGAATTTGGAGGAAAAAGAACATTGGAATTAAGAGAAATGGGATGAGGGGGAGAAAATAACTTTTTGTTGTAGAAAATTAATGAAGCTTTTAAAATTAATGCTGTTATTAATAATTCAGAGTTCAGGGCTAAGTAATTATATTTGTGGTTTTAGTGGATAACATAAAACAGGGGTCAGCAAACTATGAGTTGTAGGCCAAATCCTATATTTGTATGAATTAACCCATGAGCCATGTAGCCTATGAGCAAGGAATAGTTGTTAGGCTTTTAAATGTTTAAGAAAAAAATGACAATACTATTTTGTGACATATGGAAAGTATATGAAATTCAAATTGGTGTCTATAAATAAAGTTTTATTGGAACATAAATTAAAAATTATTTTGGGGACTTTCGTACAACAGTGTCAGTGCTGAGTACTTGCCAAAGAGACTGCACTGTATGGCTCACAATCCTAACATACTCAGTCTCTGGCCCTTCACAGAAAAAGCTTGCCAACCCCTGGGTTAGAAACACTAAGTCAGGTTAAATGCCTAGCACATTAGAAGAAAAGACATCAAATCCTCAGGGACCGTGGAAGGTTGGCATCTCACAGTTTATTCAGCTATGCTCAAGACTTTCTTTTCTTTTAACAGAGATATCGAACAAAGCCGTACTGTTGTGGCCTCTGTAAGTACTCTACAAAGGTGCTCACTTCATTCAGAAATCATTTACATCGCTACCACGAAGATGAAATTGACCAGGAACTGGTGATCCCTTGCCCAAACTGTGTGTTTGCGTCTCAGCCCAAAGTTGTGGGAAGGCACTTCAGAATGTTCCATGCACCTGTCCGGAAAGTCCAGAACTACACAGTGAACATTTTAGGGGAAACTAAATCGTCTAGGAGTGATGTGATAAGTTTCACTTGTCTAAAATGTAACTTTTCAAACACTTTGTACTATAGCATGAAGAAGCATGTGCTGGTCGCCCATTTTCACTACTTAATTAACTCCTACTTTGGCCTGCGAACTGAGGAAATGGGCGAGCAACCGAAAACTGACAATCCTCTTTCTATAGAGAAGATCCCACCACCTGACAAATACTACTGTAAAAAGTGCAATGCCAGTGCCAGCAGCCAGGATACATTAATGTATCACATTTTGACATCAGACATACACAGAGATTTGGAGAATAAGCTTAGATCTGTGATTTCAGAACATATTAAGAGGACTGGACTCTTGAAGCAAACACACATTGCTCCAAAACCAGCGGCACATTTGGCTGCAGCAGCAAATGGCAGTGCTTCCAGCACTCCAGCTCCGCCTCCTTGCTTTCATCTTGCTTTGCCACAGAACAGTCCAAGCCCCGCCTCCGGGCAGCCAGTGACTGTGGCCCAGGGTGCCCCTGGAAGCCTCACTCATTCCCCACCTGCTGCTGGCCAATCCCACATGACTCTGGTCTCCAGCCCTCTGCCCATGGGCCAGAACAGCCTCACCCTGCAGCCCCCAGCACCTCAGCCTGTCTTTCTTTCTCACGGGGTCCCACTTCATCAGTCTGTGAATCCTCCTGTGTTGCCCTTGAGTCAGCCAGTTGGACCTATCAATAAGTCTGTTGGAACTAGTGTCCTCCCCATAAATCAGAGTCAGCCAGTTGCACCTATCAATAAGTCTGTTGGAACTAGTGTCCTCCCCATAAATCAGAGTCAGCCAGTTGGACCTATCAATAAGTCTGTTGGAACTAGTGTCCTCCCCATAAATCAGACTGTCCGCCCTGGGGTTTTACCCCTTGCCCAGCCTGTGGGGCCCATAAACAGACCTGTTGGGCCTGGTGTTCTTCCTGTGAGTCCCTCTGTCCCCCCCGGGGTCCTGCAGGCTGTCTCACCAGGGGTGATTTCCGTCAGTCGGGCGGTCCCATCCGGGGTTCTTCCTGCAGGCCAGATGACTCCTGCAGGGGTTATCCCTGGGCAGACAGCAACTTCTGGGGTTCTTCCTACTGGCCAGATGGTCCAATCAGGGGTTCTCCCTGTTGGCCAGACAGCTCCATCACGGGTTCTTCCCCCTGGCCAGACAGCCCCATTGAGGGTTCTTGCTGCAGGCCAGGTGGTCCCGTCTGGGCTGCTTTCTCCCAACCAGTCAGTTTCCTCCTCAGCTGTTGTGCCTGTAAACCAGGGTGTGAATTCTGGGGTTCTTCAGCTGAGTCAGCCTGTCATGTCGGGAGTTCTTCCTGTGGGCCAGCCGGTGAGGCCTGGGGTTCTGCAACTCAACCAGACCGTCAGCACCAGCATTCTGCCTGTGAACCAGCCAGTGAGACCTGGCGCTTCGCAGAACACCACTTTCCTAACATCAGGCTCTATTCTTAGACAGCTCATCCCTACAGGGAAACAAGTGAATGGGATTCCGACCTACACGCTGGCCCCCGTATCTGTCACTCTGCCGGTTCCCCCTGGAGGCCTTGCAACTGTGGCTCCGCCCCAGATGCCCATCCAGCTCCTGCCGTCAGGCACCGCTGCACCAGTGGCCAGTTCCATGCCCGGCATGCCCTCTCCTCCAGTGCTGGTGAATGCTGCTCAGAGTGTGTTTGTTCAGGCTTCCTCGTCTGCAGCAGACACAAACCAGGCGCTGAAACAGGCCAAGCAGTGGAAGACCTGTCCTGTCTGCAACGAACTCTTTCCCTCCAATGTCTACCAGGTCCACATGGAGGTGGCACACAAGCACAGCGAGTCCAAGGCTGGTGAGAAACCTGAGCCTGAAAAACTGGCAGCTTGTGCACCATTTCTAAAGTGGATGAGAGAGAAAACAGTGCGATGTCTGTCTTGTAAATGCTTGGTCTCTGAGGACGAGCTTATACACCACTTGCTGATGCATGGCTTGGGGTGCTTGTTCTGTCCATGTACCTTCCATGATATCAAAGGTCTTTCAGAGCACAGCAGGAATAGGCACCTGGGGAAGAAGAAGTTACCTATGGATTATAGCAACAGAGGTTTTCAGTTAGATGTTGATGCCAATGGCAACCTGCTCTTTCCCCACCTTGATTTCATTACCATATTGCCAAAGGAGAAGCTTGGGGAGCGGGAAGTCTATTTGGCAATCCTGGCTGGGATACACTCCAAGTCACTGGTGCCTGTGTATGTGAAGGTGAGGCCTCAGGCTGAGGGCAGTCCCGGGAGCACTGGCAAGCGAGTGTCCACCTGCCCCTTTTGCTTTGGCCCCTTTGTGACAACTGAGGCCTACGAGCTGCATTTGAAGGAGAGGCACCACATCATGCCCACAGTCCACACAGTCCTGAAGTCTCCTGCCTTCAAGTGCATTCACTGCTGTGGGGTCTACACTGGAAACATGACCCTGGCTGCCATCGCCGTCCATTTGGTGCGCTGCAGAAGTGCTCCTAAGGACAGCAGCTCAGACCTTCAAGTCCAGCCGGATTTTATTCAGAACAGTGAACTGCTTTTAGTCAATGGTGAAGTGATACATGATTCCAGTTTTTCTGTTAAGAGGAAACTGCCTGATGGCCACGTAGGGACTGAAGACCAGAGGCACAGGGAGGAGCAGCCTCCCATCCCAAATGCTGATGCAGCCCCAGGTCCAGAAAAGGTGACGAGTGTTGTGCCTTTTAAAAGACAAAGGAATGAAAGCAGAACCGAGGGACCGATTGTCAAGGATGATGCTCTTCAGATTTTAGCATTAGACCCTAAAAAATATGAAGGCCGTTCTTATGAAGAAAAGAAACAATTTCTTAAAGATTATTTCCATAAGAAACCATATCCTAGTAAAAAGGAAATGGAACTGTTATCCTCACTCTTTTGGGTGTGGAAAATTGATGTGGCTTCATTTTTTGGAAAAAGAAGGTACATTTGCATGAAAGCAATAAAGAGTCACAAGCCTTCTGTGCTTTTAGGCTTTGATATGTCTGAACTTAAAAATGTTAAACACAGATTGAACTTCGAATATGAACCATAGAACTTGTTAAAAAATATATATATAACTCTAAAGTAGTAGATTTTTTTCAGTTGAAATTTCACAGTGTTTTCCTCACTGTGTTGGTGAATCAACCTCAGTGGTTGCTGTGCTGCTCTGCAGAGTTATTTCAGGTGCTGGAGAGACCCCTGTTACCAGGAAGCTAGTAGTTATTTCACATCTATTGTTTCCTGCAGTTTGGTTTGTAACAGTTGTTTTCAGGTTTTTTTCTCTGACCTGTAAATGAAATTTTTTGATATTTTATGCACGCCTTGTTTTCCCCATAGTGTCAGTGTCATATGATAAGAAATTGAAATCTATAAATAACTTTTTTTTCATTTAAGGAAATTTCAGCCTTTTCCAGAATTCTTGATTTATCTGCGAGTGGAAGCATCGATCTCCTTCAACTTTCTCTGAAGCCAGAGGTCATACAGTGCGTGCTGAGCGATGTGGGTACACATCCCCGTGCGTGCTGAGCGATGTGGGTACACATCCCCGTGATGTTTAAGGCTCCTTGCGGATGCATCGCATCAACTTACACTGATTTCTTTGTCAGATCTTTGCTTATAGATTATCATTTTGCTCTGTATTTTTTTAGGGTTGTCCTGATAGCTGCCTTTGTTTTTTTTTTTTTAACCGTAACTCATAGAAAATCAAATGTTTTTATTTGTTAAAAGTAGACTGAATCTGACATCTGATATGCTGGTATGTAGCTCATAAATTCAAGAATTATTTTAAAAATAAAGTTATTCTGTAGATGCAGAAATATTTTTCAGTGTAGATTTTCCCCTTCTTTGATATGCTAAGTCATTTCTCCATTCAGAGGTAAAACAATGAATTTTTAGTGCCTTTAGAATAAACATTGAAAAAATACACCCAAAAACTCTTCTCCTAACCTAACTACTCATAAACTAGTGAAAGGGAAGGACAGTGATACTCAGGAATAAAATTATTGCCCCTGAGTATGGATATTAACTTAAATTATAGCATAGATTTTCAGGGGACATGGCGAAGTTTGCAGACTGAGATCTAAGTCTCCATGGTTGGTACAGTAAGTCTTTGACCACGTTTTCTGAAGGTCATGTTTGGTGGGGAAATGGGCTTTTCTCTGTCTGGTTCGGGCAGGAAGCTGTGTCTGGGTGGATAGGATAACATAGTGTTAAAGAATCTCCATTGTCATCACTGTCCTGTGGATGGTAAACCTCGTTTTTCCCCCACACGATATAAAAAAGACTTACAGCACCAGAACCAGTCATGGAGACCAGCCAGTTTAGACCGTAAGTCATATTTCTGGTGATACACAGCAGAGGAATCCCTTTACTTTAGGTAGAAATATTTGGAGGATGTGACAGCCTCTCAGAAACACGATGTTACGATGTGGATTTTAAAACATAGAATACTTGCATGTAATTGCTATCTGTGCACATTTGAGGCAGTTGTGAAACCGGTTGTGATTGTTGGTGTACTCTGTTGTAAATTCAAAGAGAGCTTGTTGAACTTTATTTTTTTTTTACCTGTTGTTTTCAGAGTGTCTATTTTGAATTAAAATTTGTTACACCACTGCAAATAGAGCTGTTTAATTCTTTTAAAAGTTAAAACATTATTGTGAATCATAGGAATAACCTCAGTATGGGAATAGATACATTTATTTTCTGAAAAACATTACTTATCATTTGTGTGAAAATAAGAACATAACCCTAAAATGCCTAATTACTGGGTCACAAAATAGGTGTGACTAGAGCGTCCTGATGTGGACTGGGGGACTGATAGCCCCCGGAGTGCCAAAGAAGGTGTGTTACGGGGTGTCAAGGTGTGTCACGGGGGTGTCAAGGTGTGTCACGGGGGTGTCAAGGTGTGTCACGGGGGTGTCAAGGTGTGTCACGGGGGTGTCGGAGCTGTGTAGTTTCCTTCCTGTGACTGTGTCAGAGTCAGTGTGGAGGAGGTGCCCCTGAGGAGGCAGCTGCTGTCTGATGTGGTTTAATCCTCACTTTCTTTTGTTGTGTATATTAGGGTTTCCCAACCTCAGCACTCCTGACGTTTTGGGTCAGGTAATCTTTGTTATGGGTGATTATTCTGGCAGTGTCTTTAGACCCTAGTAGCACGGTGCCTCTGCTCGCTCCCCAGTTGTGGCCACCAAAAATGTCACTGCCAAGTGGTCCCTGGGAGGGCAGGATCTCCTTGTCAGAACCCTGTAAAAGAGTTCTGATTTCTTGGTGCAGTTTAGCCGTGGTACAACTGTTGGCGCTGAGTCTTTAATGCCATGCTACTTGCTGGTCACACATTTTTTAGGCTTAGAGATTAAAATTTGATAGAAGCTGAGCTTCAAAAAGTACAGTGTGGGAGTTCTTGGAAATGTAAAAAATAAATTTGTTTTTGGAAGATGCAAAAGTAACAGATTAATAGTTGTGAAAAAAAATTTAAAGTGATATTAAATTCCAGAAGAAAAGAGTTTTTGAAATACAAAAAATTGTGACCTTTATGTATTTAATCTACCTATGTAGCAGCAGCTTTAAAAATACTATACACTTCTCAAGCCTGTAATCACAGCACTCTGGGAGGCCGAGGTGGGTGGATCACGAGGTCAAGATATCGAGACCATCCTGGACAACATGGTGAAACCCCGTCTCTACTAAAGATACAAAAAAAATTAGCTGGGCATGGTGGCGCGTGCCTGTAATCCCAGCTACTCAGGAGGCTGAGGCAGGAGAATTGCCTGAACCCAGGAGGCGGAGGTTGTGGTGGAGTTCTGCTGTGTCACCCAGGCTGGGCTCAAACTCTGGGCCTCAAGCCATGCTGCCACCTTCCATCCTTCCAAAGTGCTGGGATTACAGGAATGAGCTACTGGGCTGGGCCTCTGTTATGCTTTTTTAGCAGACATTTTAGTCTGATGACTGTTGTGTGCAGTTTTATATTTTTTAGAGTCATTAAACAAAGCAGCAGTTAACTCACTAAATAAGAAAAGTTAGCCCCCAAAGTAACCTCGTTTTAAGGTCTTAGAAAATTGCACACGTGTATTAACTGCTTGATACTGCTGGGAAAGGGACTGAGTACTGCGTGACAGTCATCCCCGCCGCCTGCTGTGCCTGTGGCCTGGCCATGAGCATGGTTCTCACACTTAGTCTTACAGAGTGAGTGAGAGTCTCCCCTCTCTGAGCTGGAAGATTGAGGCTTGGAGGTAAGTACTTACCTGAGGCGGAGGCCTGTGAGGGTGGAAGTGCCAGAGTGATTGTTGAGTGGCTTCTAACATGTATTATCCCATTTGAATTTTACAGTAACCCTGTAGGTATTAAGTTGTCTGTGTTTTACAGAGGAAGAAAGGAGCTCAGAGGCAGAGTTGGCTAGCTATCCCAGTTTGCTAAGAACTTGAACAATTTCTCTGGACATCAGTGCTAAAAAGGAACCTCTTAGGCAGAGGGGCAGGCTTATCATTCCACTTAAAGTTCAGTTTTCCCAGGATGACATGTTGCATAGTGGTGCAATGCTATCGTCAGACCTGTACATTGCCCTTTGGGTACAAGGGTGAATAGCATCCTGATCCTAGACATCCTTTTTCTAGTGGTAATGTCAACAATAACAGCATAAAGATGGTTAGCAGAGCAGTTCTGTGTGCCAGATGCCATTCTGAATGTTTTGCGTGTCAAATTTGATGGTGACAATATATATATTAGTGACGAAGAATGATAGTAGCCCTGGCTGAGTTCATGAAAACGATGAAAGAAATGATGCAGTTTTGCTGTTTAGATTCTCTTCTGTTGAATGTTCATTAGGCAACAAAACTCCATCTGTGAAGTACTGCTGGAAAATTTTCTAGCTTTCAACACTTGAGCTGAATTTCTCTCATGGTTGTTATATGTGCAGTTTCTTCAGGCTGATTCCTTCCTTTTCTCAGGCGGTGAAAGTAAATGTTAACTGTTTCTGATTGTACCGGGTTACTGTAGCACACCTCCTAGCCCAGGCTTTGCGATTAGGCTTTCCATTATGCAGATACTACTTCACAGCTTTAGAATTCTGATTTTTTTTATCTTTTGTCCTAACTACTTAGTCTTTAATATTAACTACAAGTTTAAATATCATTTTGGCCATATGGAGGGAAGCTGTTTTTATATTTTGTAAATGTGCCATAAGAACACACTGCTTACAACAATACCCAGGAGACAGTTTGTTCTCTTTCAGATCCTAAACTCCAGAGTTTCCTAATTTATGATCAATGAAAAGTGTAAATATGTGACCTAGAAGGAAAAATGTTAAAGTCTAGAATATTATCAAATTTTTCATAATATACAGCTAAAATGAGAATTTACTTACACTACCAACCTCAAAGACCTCTGCTTATATGGGGACTGCTGTCTAGGAGGCCACCTAACAGATAAACGCCAGAGCCCCTGGTGTCATCACGGTGTCAAGTTCAAGATGATTCTGATGTGCATTTTGAGAGGAGAAATATATATATCGCTGCTAAACAGTAGCCAGTGTTGTTCTTCATGGCCTTTAAAATAATGTGCTTCGGACCCACTTACCTTCATTTTGCTCGTAAGATCACCAGCAACATGATTTCCTTTTTTAGCATGCCCATCTCTGAACTAAACATTACTTTTTTAGAAAAAGAAAATGCATAGGGAAGCTTTTCAGAAGGGAAGCTTTCCAATAAGAGTTTAAGATATTTCAAGTCCAAACTAAACAGCAGCCACACAGACATGTTTGCTGTGTAGAAACGAAGACTGTGAGGTCATACTTAGAAATTCAGAACTAATTGCAGTGAATCAAGGTTTTTTTTTCGGAAATCATGCAGTTCCTACGGTTTTGAACCCATGATATGGAAAGTTTAATGTTAAATACTTTGCCATTCACCTAAAAGCACACTAGGAAAATAGAATATTAGCAAGGAATCATAGGCTTTAATGGTTCAGCAGTTTCTCTGAAGGTAATCTTTCTGTGTTAGATGTACGTATATCTTGAAAGGCAGAGCCATAAAATTCATAAAAACATCCTGTGAGAGTTGCAGTTCCTGGCCTTCTACCAGGCAGCTTGTTTAGAACGGGAAGACTGAAGATACAGAAAAACCATACAAGACAGTTTGCTGAAAATAAAAGCAATTCACACTTCAGACATCACAGTATATAGAAATAGGATCTCAAATTTGGCCTCTCATAAGCTGCAAATAAATGCTCTAAAGAGTCCCTGTGCAGGCCCAGATTGGAGGTCTTATTACAAGGAAAGTGATATTTGATCCTATAAAGGATGGGAGATTCATCCACCAATTATATTATCTTGTGGAAAACAACTTCTGAAAATAATTGGGAATCTATAAGAGGTAATTTTAAAGAGATTAGGCATTTCTTAGGGAAGATTATTTTTGGCTACCAAAGCATTTTTATAGGTTTTTATATGTGCTTTCAAATGATTAGGTGTATCAAGACTACACGAAAGGAGAGGACAGAATTGAAGGTGAGGGCAAAGATTTTTGGAACGCCCTTGGGAATCCCAAGTTTAGCCCTGCTCCGTCCCCTGCTCCCATTCCAGCCCCATGACCCCTTTGGGATGAAGCAGCTCAGGCGTCTAATTGTGCTGGTTCTGAGGCTGGCCCTCTTCTGGTGATGTCTCACATGCTGTTAGAAAATTGATAACCTCTTCCCAGAACTGCACATTGCATTTACAGTGGTTCTCTGTGCCCCATTTCCTAGTCACAAACTATTTCATTCTTTGTTTTTTATTCATAGGTGTTAGTAGTGATCATCTTTGTCTAATGAGCTAATTTAGAAGTGAGCAGAATACATATATGTCAGCACTCAGTGCTGCACGTTTTCTAGCCATTTCCTAGCGATTTATAGCGTCAGGTTTTTTTTTTTTTTTTGCTCTGATATGATATTCCATGTTTAATTGGTTTGATGAAAGAAGGTAAAAGTTGAGATACTAAAAATAGATGTGTGGCTACTGAAATGCTAAACATGGTTTCAATTCAGGATCTTATAACATGAAAAAGTTCAGTATGAAATCTGTTCAGTAATAAAGTTAGACTGTCTAGGGACATCACCATGTCTACCAGTTCTTATCTATTTGAATCCCACTTAGAAATCCTTAAAACCATTTTAGAATGTACATGGTTTTATCCAAATGAAGATTCTAGTTTCCAGGGTCAAAATACATATCCATAGTGTCTGAAGGACTTGGTATAATTTAACAATATCCTCAATCTAATTTCTCAATGCTGAAGAAGTTCTGAATATCACTACATAACCACCTTCTACATCTGAGACCCCGTGCCAAGTTCTTGCCCCACTATGCCTTGCTTTTCTCTTTACAAAAAGGTGGGGGTGGGAACAGCAGGATGATTCCTTCTGTGTTTCTTTTTTTTTTTTTTTTGAGACGGAGTTTGGCTCTTGTTACCCAGGCTGGAGTGCAATGGCGCGATCTCGGCTCACCGCAACCTCCGCCTCCTGGGTTCAGGCAATTCTCCTGCCTCAGCCTCCCGAGTAGCTGGAATTACAGGCACGCGCCACCATGCCCAGCTAATTTTTTGTATTTTTAGTAGAGACGGGGTTTCATCATGTTGACCAGGATGGTCTCGATCTCTTGACCTCGTGATCCACCCACCTCGGCCTCCCAAAGTGCTGGGATTACAGGCTTGAGCCACCGCGCCCGACCCCTTCTGTGTTTCTTAAAAGATGTTCTCCATATAATCATGTTTTATTTCCTGTGTGCTAGAAGGGGAGCCTGGATCTTTGCCATTTCTTGAACAGTTAATTAGCAAGCTGCTTACCCGCAGTGATCTGCAAGTTCATTGATACCACACCCTGACCTCCTGAAGGATTGTCGTGGTGGCAGCAGGCCAAGACTCCACAGATTTGGATTATGAGTTAAGAAAACAGCATATTCCTGAGCGGGACTAGATGTCTTTTTGCTTTCTAATATAAAGTCCGTCTCAATCCAGATCATTTGAACTCAAACTACAGAGATTAGTGTAACTGTCTCGATTGAGAAGTTTTCTTTACACATCTCTGTAACAAGGTCTTTCTGTATGTGGTTGCCCCTGGGAGAAGTGATGTGCAGAAGAGACTACCAGGAAGAACATGCCAGAATGATTGTTTTTATTTAAAATCTACCATCCATTAACTTAAAATTTAAGCTTCCACCAACATTTGGCAATGTGATATGCTTCTAACAGTGTTTTCTCACTGTTAAAGCATTTGTGCATATGATTTAAGATTATAGAGCACACATACTCTGTCATTTACCAGCAATAGTATAAATATTTTACCATAGGGCAGACCTTTCTTCCTAAAGCCGTGAAACATCTTGGACCAAATTTCCCTGGTTATATTATCACATATATTTATCTCCTATTAAAGTTTGTGTTGATTTTAGATAACATTTCCAGTAGTAGAAAGATGCTAATGAAAATATAAACGACAACTTGGGGCCCAATAACACGATGAGGTGCTTCAGCTGTTGAACACAGTGAAGTAATTGCTGAGCTAGTTATGTCCCTTGTGATTTTACCTGTATCATTTGAATCTTTCTAAATACGTTACATACCCCAAATTGGCCCCGATGTGTCTACTTGGTTTCAGCGGCCTTAGCCTAGGTGCACGGTACCCTTTCATTTGTGAGATTAGGAGTACCACAAATCTAAAACCTAAGAATAAAGGGTGAGGTTAAAGCAGGTGACTCTGACTACATCGTTTTGGGTAACATGTAATCTTCATTACTACTGTCATATGTATAGGTTTCTAAAATGTGTTGAAATCAGTCACTGATGTTGGACTGTAAGAGTTCAGGTGGATTCATCTGTCGTCACTGTGGGCTCCTGTGGGTGTGGCTGGCTTGAGTCTGTTTAGATGGCTTCCAAGCCCTTTCCGTTGATTTTGTCCATTTTCACTACAGCCCCCATGTGAGTTGCTAAGGACCAAAAAAGCATGAACTGCCCTAGAGATTTAAATTCTAGTATTTGTTTACTTGCCAGGCACTAATGGAAAAAATCATAACCCTAAAATGAAAATTCAGTAAATAGATCAAATAGCTTTTTTTTTTTTCTGCTGTGAATTCAGCTGGCATCTGGATATTTGAATAGCCCAGTTAAAAATCCAACGATCTTGGCAACCTCATTGCTACATTTTAGTGTTTAAAGTACAGCGGTATTAGAGATAAAAACCAAACGCACCTTATCTAACATCCCCCAAACCCATCAATTCTAGTTAGAAAGTCTTCAAGACTCCCATCTAAAGCTTTGATTTGTCATAAATAGGAATAACTAAGTTTGTGCATTTATGAATATAATTTTCAACAGTTTTTAAGGACTCTGCAAAGCATAACATTGGTTATTTGATAATTGCATTAAACATGTTTTTGAGACAGGGTCTTGCTGTGTCTCCCAGGCGGGAGTGCAGCTGTGTTGCCTCCGCTCACTGCAGCCTCCACCTTCCCGGCTCAAGCCATCCTCTCGCCTCGGGCTTCAAAGTGCTGGAACTCCACGCGTGAGCCCTGCGCCCAGTCAGCTTGGTAATTTCAATCGCAAAACTACCCTCCTACAGAATGCTTGTTTCTACGTTGGTATCAGTTTCCAAGTAGAAGTAACCATTGATCAACTCGATAAACTTGGTGGTTTCATGTCATCTGCGAGGCCCGGTAGGAGGCGTGGAGCCCTGCGGTGCGGTGCTCGTGTGCGTGCGTTTTAAAGCGTGTTGGAAACGCCCGTAACTGCAGCGACGGCCACGCGGCCTTGGTCGCGGCCAGAGGAGGAGACCGGCCAGGACTGCGCGGTAGCCGGACGGCGGGTGAGGCTTCTTTCAACAGGGCGAGTTTCAGTGGGAAATGCGGGATGCTTCTGAAGTTTCCACAGAATATGGTTTCTAAAATTACGGGTTTCGCATCTTTGGCACTTGCGGGGGCGCCCATCTTTGACCGCTATCGAGGTGGAGGCGGGATGGGGCGGGGGAAGCAGTTTTCCATAAGGCCCACCCCCTCGGGAACCTGTCAGTTTGCCGTTGCCATGGCAACGCCCGGAAGTCACCGCCCCTTTCCATGGCAACAACCTGACGACCTGAAAGTTACCACCCTTATTCTAGAAATAGCTGCATAATCTTCGCTTAATTTGCATATCAGTAACTGCGTATAAACAGGAGCGCAGCCCCGCCCCGCCCCCAGCTGCTCCCCTGGGCGCACTTGCCTGAGGGGTTGCCGTGGTCGCTCCCGCGCCTCAGTGGGCCTCGAAGCCGCGGCCCAGCAGCAGCGGGGAAGAAACCCTGCCGAGAAGAGCCGTGGGCCCTCCGAGGCTAAGCCGTAGTTTGGGGCTGACCTGCCCTGCATCATCCTGGGTCCCGCACAGGAGGCGAATCAGGCTGCGTCTCCTCCGGGCGAGCACCTGTGGCCCCAGGCCAAAGGGCGTTTCTTAGCTCGCGGGGCCCTCGCTGGGAGAGGCAGGTTAGGCTCTGGGCTCCGTTCCCGGCACCTGCTGCCTCCGGGCGGAGACGAAGATGCTGTAGAATGTTTAATTGTATGATAACGACCCTCGTGAGAAAGGAAAGGGAACGCTGCGGAGGAAGCTCCGCACACCCGAGAGGCCGAGCCGCGCCGGCGCTGCCCTCACCTGGGGGTGACACGTGGCTGTGATTTCCGCAGGTGTCAGGAACCACGCAGTGATTCAACTCGTATTTGGCCTTCACTTTCTCCAACAGTGTTCTTCAGTCTGGGAAGGGGAGAAATTCTGTGGAAGAAAAAGTCAAAGGTAAGGAGAGCTAAAAAATGAGATCATTTCAAAGTGGATGCAGCCCTGAAGCCCAGATGAATTTCAGGCTCCAGCTTGAAAGCCGCTGCAGATGTGATTGCAGAATCACCCACGGCGGCCCCGGAGGGGAACTGCTGCTGAAGGAGCTCAGGAAGAGTGGGGACTGAATTTCAGGTAAGAGGCCGCCAGTGGTTCCGGAGCCTTTGGGCTTGAGCCATGCCCTGCGTTCACACGTACTGACATCGCTAAGCCCACCCAAGCCGTGGCAGTGGGAGCCTCTCCCTCCCCCAGCTCAAAGCCTCTGGGCCCCCAGGACAGGGGACAGGACAGGAGACAGCCCCTCCTGGCTCAGGGGTGCCTGGAGCCCGTGATGGCCGCTCTGCCTCCCCTGAGGTGCCAGGTGAGAGCTGAGACTTCTGTGCCGGCCACACCAGCTCCGTTTGTCTCCAGGCGGCGTCGGTCTCGTTCTCGTTCTTTAAACCCTTCTGACTGCAGCACACGTCCCGCCTTTCACTGGATGGAAAGGCTTGTTGCCTTGTGTCTGGGACTTCTTATTCTGTGCTCTTCTTTTGGATATCAAATTTCCTCTCCACTCTTGCTTGTCACTCTGATCTTACTGCCCTCTCCCTCCCTCCCTTTGGAACACTCGAGTCATTCCTGTTTTCAACTAAGAACCAGACACATTCACGTGGAGAAATGAATGATCCCTGGGTGTGGGCAGCAGGCAGTATCAAACCATGCAGTCTTTTAAGGTCCATTCAAACACATACCTCCAAAATGATTTATTGTTCCACATATGCTGGTCCTAAGGTGTTTTAAAATCCTAGGCAAACAGCAGTGTGTGTATGCAAAAGAATGATTGTGCCCAGGAGTCTTGGTAAACAGGTCAGCTAAGAGTCCAAAATATATTTCTAGAGTGCTTACATCCAGAAGTGAGTACTGATTTGCTTTTAATTCGTATTTGGAATGTGTGGGGGGCCAGGAGGACCCAACTATGAAGTATGTATGTGGTGATGAGACTAGGAGTGATTTTGTTGTTTTTTTTAATATTTTACAAATTTTCTAAAATGAATGTGTGTTTAGTCCTTTAAAAATGTAAGTGGTGTCCGGGTTAGTAGTGCTACCAGTTGGAAAAAGTGATTAACCCCATTTACCCGTTAATTTATTGTATATAAAATTGTCATTGTTGAAATTAGATGCTGCTAGATTGTGCAAGTATCAAAGCTTCAAGTTCAAGAAACAAAAAAAGTGGCTTATCTGACTGTTGGTCACTCCAACAGCAAAGTTCTAGGCAATTAATGTTTTTGTTACTTTTGAAACATAGTGCAAGGAATTAACAAAAGTGTGCAGGACGGGGACAGCTCCTCCCTCACCGGCCTCATAACAATGTTCTTGAAGTCTGCTTTTCTTCCCTACCACCTGAATTTGCTAAGCAGAAAGTACTCCACAGTACTTTGTACTCCACAGTACTTTCTACTCCACAGGAGTGGTTCAGAGGCATTGCTGCCCCTCCATGGCTGCCCTGGCCCCAGCAACCTGAAGGGAGAAGACCACATTGGGGCAGGCAAGGGGCCAGGAGACAGCAAGCATTATTTTTCCTGTGTGTAGACTCATATTTAATAATTGTTGAAGAAAAAAGCCTTAACACCACACGTAGCAAGTTTGAATAGAGTTGTCTGATGACCTGGGTCCCGTGGCTGACCGGTGACCGCCGTTAGCCCTCAGAGATGGGATGCTGAGCCATCATTTCTTTTTCCTCTTTCTTGAAATTAGTTCTGATGCCATCAGTGGCTTGGTCTCTGAGATCCTGCCTAATGCTGGAGATAAAACATAAATGAAATGGAGTTACCCCTCAAAGAGCTCCTAGCTTTGAAGCCACGACCCTGTGCTCTGTCAATGTGCAGGAGCAAGGGGACGGCGGACATTACAGGACGAGCAGAGAATGCTTCACAGCGGGAGGCACCACAGCTGACCTCAGGTGTGAAGGGAAGCTGCAGGGGAAGTGCAGAGCACAAGGTACCTTTGAGATGTAGACATGAGAAGCACAGCTCGTTTGAGGACCACGGAAGAGTTTAGTGGCACAGAATTGGACTTCACGGTTAAGTTCAGGAATTGGGATCAGAGTCTGATAAGTTTAAACGTTCTTGAAATAATTCTGGTAAATTAATAAATGTCAGACAGTGCAGCACTACAGGTGCAGAAGCTTCAGAAGTCTTCCTCTTTCTCCTCTCATCCTCTTCCTTCCCCCTTAGCCCTAAACTGAGGCAGAGCGAAGAGGGCTCCAGCTGGCAGAGGGAAGGACTCTGGTGCTTGGAGTTGGCTGTGGAGCCAAGCAGGGTGAGAAAGGGCCCAGGGGAGATGAGAATGGCCCCTCTCAGTGTAAGTGGGGCTGGGAGGTTGAGAGATACCTCTGAAGGGGCATTGAGCCTGGAGATGGGGAAGGGCACCTGCATGGGGAAGAGGGTGGCCGTGGTGGTGATGGGAGGTTACTGGTTACGGTCAGCACATAAGTATATTAAGGATAATGGGAGCAGGTTTCTTACAAATAAGGAAAGGAACAATCGCGATATAAATGTATGTGTGCACGTGTGTGTGTGTGTGTGTGTGTGTGTGAGAGAGAGAGAGAGAGAGAGAGAGTGAGAGAGAGATCATCTCCAAGACTACCTTCAGGTTTAGTGAGTTTCACAGGCCTCAGAAGTCATTTTACTCATGACTATGGTGTTCGTAAGGGGAAATGGCTCAAGGCAAAGGCTGCAGGAAGCCCGTGTGAGTTGTGAGCATCCTCTCCCAGGGCAGTCACGTGGGATGCCCCTAACTCCGCCAGCAGTGAGCTGTGATGATGTGTGAGGTGTTGTCTACCAGGATGCTTGTCTGAGCCTGAGTTCCCATGTGTTGTTTGGGGGATTGGTCCCATAGGCACAGGGGAGGCTACAGAACCCTTGAAGAAAGTCAGGGGTTCATTGTAAGTCACATGATTTATATGAATTGTCCAGACAGAAGGGTGCAGGTGACTCAAGTTTCTAAGTGTACAAAACACTCATGCTATAGTGTCCAACTTTTTTGGCTTCTCTGGGCCACAATGGAAGAATTGTCTTGGGCTACACAAAAAATACAGTAACACTAATAATAGCTGATAAGCTAAAAAAAAAAGCCTATGCATAATTTTCATGATGATCTTATTAAAAAGTAGGGGAAGGACATGAATAGACATTTTTCAAAAAAAGACATGCATATGGCCAACAGGTATATGTAAAAATGCTCAACATCACTAATCATCAGAGAAATGCAAATTAAAACCACAACAAAATATCTCATCCTACCCTAATCAGAATGGCTGTTATTTAAAAAGTCAAAAACCAGATGTTGGTGAGGATGTGGAGAAAGGGAATTCTTATACACTGTTCGTGGGAATGTAAATTAGTACAACCTCTATGGAAAACTGGAGATTTCTCAAAGAACTAAAAATAGAACTACCGTTTGATCCAACAGTGTTCCTACTGTGTATCTACCTGCAGGAAAAGAAATCAATATATCAAAAATGTATACACTCATATGTTTAACGAAGTACTATTCACAATAGCAAAGACAGGAACATGAGCCTGAGGGTCTGTCAGTGGATGACTGGATACAGAAAACGTGGTTTGCTTCGGAGAATACTGTTCAGCCATAACAAGTAATGTTGTCTGTAGTGACATCGTGGATGGACTGGAGGTCACTATCTCAGATGAACAGGTCAGACCCCAAAAGACAGATACCATGTGTTCTCTCTCATAAGTGGTAGCTAAAAAATGTGTGCACATGGATGTGAGGAGTGGAATGACAGCTCTTGGGGACTTGGAAGGGTGAGAGGTTAGGGGTGGTGGGTGATGAGAATTTAAGGAGTACAATATTATTTGGGTGACGATATCCCAAAAGCCCTGACTTGACCAGCACATGGTGTATGCATTTATCCAATTATGCACAGCTGTCCTGTTAGTGTATGCACACTGAATAGGGTACCAGAAACTATACTTGTATCCCACGATTTATACAAATAAAAAATGGTTACTTGTAAGGATGACTTTGAGATTTCTGCTTAGATTATTATTACAGTAGCATTCATCTAAGATAAGTATTCACCAAAATGCTTTCAAATACAAAAATCCTGATTCCAAGAAAGTGAAGAAACAGGATGCTCAGAGAAAGGATTGCCTGTTTCCCACTGATTGTCTTTCTATCGATCAGTGGTCCTGAGCAGGGAATATTCTCTTTAGTATTTTCAGCAGCAACTTGAGTGACCCTTTACATATAAGGAGACTTTTAATTCTAATTTTTGACAGAGAAATGAAGTCACTTGCACTGAATGACAATCTGCCTATTGCTGGCTAGAGCAGATGGTGAAGGTACATTCCAGAATAAATCCAAGGTGGTGAACGGTGTCTTTCCTTAGCTAGAATTGTGTGGATAAACATTGCATTTTTGGTTTTTTATTTTTTTTTTTGAGACAGGGTCTCACTTTGTTGCCCAGGCTGGAGTGCAGTGGTGTCGTCACAGCTCACTGCAGCCTTGACCTCCTAGTATCAAGTGATCTTCCCACCTCAGCCACCTGAGTAGCTGTGATTACTTTTTTTCTTTTAGGCAAAGAGAATACACTTGGCTAATTACAAAAAAAAAAAATTGTAGAGACAAGGTCTGTGTTGTCCAGGCTGGTCTTGAATCCTTGAGTTCAAGAAATCCTCCCACCTTGGCCTCCCAAAGTGATAGGATTACAGGCATGAGCCCCTGCACCCAGCCTGCAGTTCTGAAAACAGAAGGGGTGAGAAAGACATCAAACAGTTGTGAAGTATGGCTCTGGAAATTATTTATGTGACACTAGAAATATCAGTCAGCCTTCATTTTCTCATCTGAAAACTAATGGTAAATGATAAAAATTTACAATATCCTCTTTCTGGCTGTTTTTCTTCTCATTTATTGATAAACAAATTAGGCTGTTTGTTGCCTGTTTCTGAAGCAGGAGCTCAGAGGAAACATTGTTCCACTCATCCACAGTAAGTAGGGTCATTAGTAACTGAACATCAGGGAAAATACGACAAGCCTCTGAATAAAGCACTTAGGTTGGCGTGGGAAACAAAACGCAAAACCGTCGTGGCAAGCAGGGGACGTGAAGTGGGGTTTGTTGCGTGGAAGTAGATTTGGGACTCTGGTACCCTCATCAGTGTCTGTGGTGCTTCTGCGGCGGCCTGGTTCTGAGGACCTGAAGTGGGGATCTGCAGCCCAGTAACTGAAAGTAGATGTGGGGCTCAGATCCCATTATCCATGTGTGGGGTGCCCTCTGCAGTCTGGTTCTGTGCAGTTCTCTTTTCATGACTGGTAGTCTCTGTGGCCCAGTTCTGTGACTGATGGTGGTTTTCCATCTCTGATTCGCTCATCTGTGCGTGCTGGTCTTTGGAGTCTGGTTAATTGGAAATTGGTTTTGGATATTATCCTTATTCATGTGTGGTGCTCCCTATGGTCTGGCTTTGTGGCAGATTTTGGATGCTGTTCCTATCGTACATCTGGAATTATACAGCCTCATCATACGAGGTATGTTTGGCCCTGTGCCCCTCTTACGCTACCGTCTTTTCATGAGAAAGGAGGTTTCATATTCTGATCCTCTCATCTATACGTTTGGGTCCCTGCAGTCTGACCTCAGGTGGGTTTCACATAGGGCGTGTAATTTGGCTCTAAGGTGGTAAGACACACTTTTCTGTCATCACGTCCATGTTGCTTAACAGCTCACATGACAGTCTACCGGAAGTGCAATTCTTCTAAAAGAGCTTTTGCCTGGCACTTTGTTTTGGGAGCAAGGGGACTCAAATCAAGAAGTAATGTGTTTATCTTCAAAGCTCACTGGGAAAGCAAACTTGGAAAATGGCACTCATCTTTTGTGTTGCAAGAAGAATGTTGAATCATTTTGTTTGGTTTTTATTACCGTTCTAGAGGTTATGTCTCTCCTTGGGAACGTGTCTCAGTTTTGAAAACATCCTCAATACTTTCAAGTTCTTTTCTTCCCATGAGGATAAAGGAGAATAAAGCACAAGATAATTGAGGAAAGGTAAGAGGGAAAAAAGAACTTGCATATTGATTTGGAGTGTCTTCAGGAATAAACAGGAGATGTTTAAGGCAGAAAGTAGAGAGTTAAGACGACTAGGTGTATAGATGTGGCACCAGAATGGTGGTGGTGGGAGATAATTCAAAAAATGGTATTTGTGCATTTAGGAAATACTTTTGCAGGTTACCTGATGTTAAATTACAATATTGATACTGGCACATAACATCCTAGAGGGAAATCTATGTGCTTGTTGGATAGGGTCTTGGTCATCAAGTCCAAGCTTATAGGCAAGTCCTGTAAGCTTGGGGAATTAGCCAATAATTCTCAAATGTGATTCCTGCACCAGTACTGTCGGCATCTCCTGGGAACTTGCTAGAAATAAAAATTCTCAAGCCCCATCCAAGATCCTTAAATCAGACCCTCTGGGGGTAATTCAGGCACTCTTTTTTGTCTCTTTGAGACTGAGTTTGCTCTGTCACCCAGGCTGGAGTATAGTGGTGTGTTCTTGGCTCACTGCAACCTCTGCTTCCCTAGTTCAAGCGATTCTCCTGTCTCAGTCTCCAGAGTAGTTGGGATTACAGGCACATGTCACTGCACCTGGCTGGTGTTTTTTTTTTTTTTTTTCCATCTTCAGTAGAGCCAGTGTTTCACCATCTTGGTCAGGCTGGTCTTGAACTCCTGACTTCAGGCGATCTGCCCGCCTTGGCCTCCCAAAGTGCTGGGACAACAAGCATGAGTTACTGTGCCCGGCCAGTAGGCACTCTAAACAAGCTGTTTGAGGGGACGAGGGTTCACCCTCTGATCTGTTTGAAACAGGAAGTCCCTGAGCTCACACTGAGCAGCTTACCTTTCCAGAAAAGAGCAAGTTGGAAATCAGCTAAGTAGGTTCATACTTTCAGTAGGATGGTATACGTAGTATTTTAGTGCTTTTGGGAACTGTCCATTAGTACAGCCTTACACCTTTTTTTTTTTTTGAGACGGAGTCTTGCTCTGTCGCCGGGCTGGAGTGCAGTGGCACAATCTCAGCTCACTGCAACCTCCGTCTCCTGGGTTCAAGCGATTCTTCTGCCTCAGCCTCCCGAGTAGCTGGGACCACAGGTGTGCACCACCACACCTGGCTAATTTTTGTATTTTTAGTAGAGACGGGGTTTCACCATGTTGGCCAGGATGGTCTCGATCTCTTGACCTCGTGATCTGCCCACCTCGGCCTCCCAAAGTGCTGGGATTACAGGCGTGAGCCACCGCACCCAGCCAGCCTTACACCTTTTTAATAAACTATTCAGACCAGGTGAGTTTTAGTGCTGCCATAAAAAACTTCATACTAGTGCCAGCTTTTAAAATGCAAGGATCAAAAGTTGACCCTACCACACTTGGTTCATACTTGCATCCTTTGAAAACATTCCACAGAAGTACAGGTAATTTACATGGCCTTCTGTTGGAAAATTTAGATTTTGGCTAAAATGGATTTTATAAAACAATCATGGCATTTTCTGAATACTTTTTCACCTTGCCATAAAACTCCCACTCCCTGCGATCATTTCATTTGAAACCATAAAATATTAAATACCCTCACCAAATTGCGAATAAATTCACAGTATCACTGCATGTTCTGGGGTTTATGAAGTGGATTATCGGGTCAGGGAAACCCAGCCCTGAGGCCACACCTGGCCAGCAGCCAGGTGCACATGTGGCCTCTGCTCACACTTAAGCCTTGCATCTCATCCTGCACCATGTGTCTCTGAAACTGGTCATTAGTTTTGGAGGGTGTACCCAGCGCTGGCACTTGACCTCTGCCCCATCAGCTCCAGCTCATCAGACTGGGGGGGTCAACTGTCCAGCTAGCGGTTTCCTCACCTCTGAACTGGAAAGGCTGCCCACAGTCCAGAGTTGCTGTTTGGACTCAGCAGGTGGCGAGTACTTGTGGCACCCTAGTGGGGTGCCTGCGCTGCTTCCAGGGTGCTGATGCCCCATGAAATCTCATCTGTAATTTGCTGAGTAATCGCATTTGTCATTGCAATTTGAATCTTGGTGTGAGAACAACAGTGTTAATGAAAACTTTGCCAACCAGGGCATATTTAGGAAGTACTGTATAAATATTCAGAAAAGCTTTTTCAAAAGGACTAGGGTTCTGGACTGCCATCTGTCTGTCTGAGCTTGGGCCCATTTTCTCATCATCTACTTGCCTCAGAGAAGGCGTGCAGATTCAGTGAAAAAAGATGGCACATGATAGGCACTTGATAAATCTGCCATTCTCTTTTTGAGAGATTACTTTATCTCTGGTATTCTCTTCCACTTAGAACACAACTGAACTATATCATTAATGCATTTTGTTTACTCAAAAGTCAAAAAAGTTTTTATTCTCTGATATATAAAACCAAGGAAATTTTAATACATGATATGACAGTTTTGTTTAAAAGGAAAAAGTGTCAGAAGTACAGTCCTCTGTAGAAAAATACACTCAAGCAGCTGTTCCAAGCAGTTTGTAATTTCTAAAATTATGAATAGCACACAATTCTCAGAGAAAGCCTTATTTCTTTAAAAAAAATTCACATTTGCTTAAAAACTTAAAATGTGATAAGAAATATAACTTTCCTTCTTGAAAGCAGACCTGGTTATATAACAGACATTCAGTAATCCGCAATAACTTAGTAAAAGAACATTTCCTTTGTGAGAGTAACAGCTTTAGTTTTAGTTCCACGAAAACCGCTCCTGACTGCTGGGGCACCGAACAACATGCCTTTCCAGCTCGTCAGAGAGCAAGTCTGGCGGGATGTGGATCCTCACTGGAGAGGTCACCGGGAGGCATCTTTGGTCTTCTCTGTACTTAAGAACAAGGGGCCAGCAATCCATTGCATACAAATAACATCAAACACAGGTGCGGGAATTCACAAGTCCTCAGCAACAGCTATTTCTTACAAATAAATAGCATTCAAGAAGAAAATAATTTGCTTTTCACTTAATAATCAGAAACAATGAAAATGCTGAGATGCAGTTTTCCCTGTTAGCAGCCCCATGTTCACGAAGTCAGGACAGTTCCGCCACTGACCAGCAGGTGGTGCTAGGCCACAAGGAGAAGCAGCAGGATGTGCGTGGCTCTGACAACCTCGAAAAATATTTTTACCTTTATCTGTATGAAAGATTTGGTCAAAGTTCTCAAAGTGTGAATGTAACATTCCATTCCCAACATTGTATCCAAGCAAAACACATTATATAAAATTTAATTTCATCAAATATGAACTTTTCAAATTACTAAATGTATAAATGTTGCTGGAAGAACAGAGTGAGAATGAATTTAGTATTGGTTAAAAATCACTGAGTTCCACATGGCTTATTATAGTTCAAAATAAGAACTGCCAGTGACCATGTAATCTAGAAATGAAAATTAGCATTTATTAATTGTGACTTACAAAAAACAATGTCTGTTTCAAAAACAAAGATGAGAACTCAACATGTAAATGACTGCACTGATAAAGCCCTTGCTGGAGGTGTGTGATGCTTACCCTTCATTTCTGATGAAAACATGTCAGAAATTGCCCTCAGAGTCAGTCAACCCACAGAAAAAGACTGGTTGTCATCTCAGAGGCGACAGAGGCTTTGATCCCGAATGGGACTGCTGGGCCCTGCCTTCCAGTCCAGCAGAGCCACTGCTTCCCATCATGGATTCCCCCTTGAGGCTGAATGGGTCACCTGTGTGAGTCACAAAAACAGCCCCTGGCCAGATGTGGTGGCTCACACCTGTAATCCTAGCACTTTGGGAGACCAAGGTGGGTGGATCACCTTAAGTCAGGAGTTGGAGACGAGCCTGGCCAACATGGTGAAACACCATCTCTACTAAAAATACAAAAATTAGCTGGGTTTGGTGGCACGTGTCTGTAGTCCCAGCTCCTCCGGAGGCTGAGGCAGGAGAATCGCTTGAACCCGGGAGGTGGAGGTTGCAGTGAGTTGAGATTGCGCCACTGCACTCCAGTCTGGACAGAGCAAGACTTTGTGTCTCAAAACAAAACAAAAAACAGCCCTGGGGATAATATCACAGCTGTGGGAGATCTCCTGCCCCAGCTGAATTATGACTATGAACAGTATGAAAATCTGGAATTCATCTCCCTGGTTGTACCTGTGACAGGTTTGGGTGCATTCATTCATTTTTTTTCTCTTGAGACAGAGTCTTGCTCTCATTCCACCCAGGCTGGAGTGCAGTGGCACAATCTCAGCTGCAACCTCTGCCTCCTGACTAGCTGGGGTTTACAGGCGTCCGCCACCATACCTGGCTCATTTTTGTCCTTTTAGTAGAGGCGGGGTTACCAGCAAGTCAGAGCAGAAAGCATAGTGAGAATGCTGAGGCATATTTTGCATGGGCGAAGTTAAAAATGTGAATTTGATACTTTTAAAAACTAATTTTAAAGCTTCATTTTAAAAACAAAGTATTTTTGTAATATTTAAAAAAGCATTTTTTGCATTTGGTCAGATCTTTCCTATCGCTTTGCAAAGGCGCCAGGACCTGCACTCGGGCCTGGTACAGAGTGTGTCTGCAGGTGTTCATTTTAAGTTCTGTGGTGAAGTTCTATAAAAATAGGCAGTATTTGTGTTTTCTATCCAGAAGTGGAAATAAAGAGCAGGGTTTTTGTGGTCACAAAAACAAAATAGTAGGGGATGCAGTCTGCAGGTCCTGTCCCTGTCCTTACCCGGGAAGCGGAGCTACGATTTGGGGGTCTCTCCGGAGTCTAGAGCGTGACTGCGGGCCCATGCTCCTCCACGCCGCCTGGCGGCAGTGCCAGGCTGTGACGCGGGTCGGCCCGCAGGGAGCTGAGCAGCCGCTGGAGGCTGCCATCCAGGGCCAGGTCCCGCTGCAACCGCTGTGCCAGGCCCGCGCCATTGACCCGGGAGAGGCTGCCTGCAGGCGCGCCTGGGGTCTGGGGGGACCGCGCAGGCTCCAGCATGCCCTCGATGACCACGTCGTTGTCCTCGTCGCTCTCTGCCTCGTCGGGGTGGAAGTTCTGCAGGATGCGTGGGGTAGGGGGACCCCCTAGGCCTGCGATGCTGTCCGAGGGCGGCCCCGAGCTGCCCAGGGCGCGGCCGCCACGCACCACATTGTTGCGCTGGTTGGCGGGCTTGACGGTGACGATGAGGTTGTGGCTGTTGGCGATCATCATGTCCGTGACCTGGTCCAGCGTCTTCCCGGCCACCTCAATGCCGTTCACCTCCAGGACCTCGTCATTCACGGCCAGCAGCCCAGTGCTCTCCGCCAGGCCCCCGGGTACCATGCGTGAGATGAAGATGCCCGGCACCTTCTCCAGCCCATGCGGGGTCACGCGCACGCTGGCACCATCGCGGATGTAGAAACCTAGTGGCTTCTCACAGCCGTGCCGGTGCAGCCGCACTCGCCGGTGCGTCTCGGGGACCAGGTCCACGTCGATGATGGACGACACGGGGCGGAAGTCGCGCGGGAGGCCAATGTCCAGGTGTGCGCGCCGCCGGGGTCCCTCGTCTCGCAGCGCGCCCAGTGCCCGCCTCCGCCTGCAGAGTGAGCCTGCGCCAAGGCTGCCACGCTCGGCCTCCTCTGTGGGAGAGGGGACAGTTAGAGGGGACACACAACCCAGCCCCGCCTGAGCCCTCTGCAATCATACACCTGGCACTGCTGTTCCATCCACGTGACGCGTAAACACCCCAGGTGCATGGGAGTGTTCCAGACCCACAGGCTGAGCTGAAACCAGGCAAGCTCAAGTGCAATCCCCTAAAATTGACTCTCTAGCACTCTCCAAACTGCTCCACAGGCACCAAACCAAAGGACCTACAGGCTAAAAGGTGCTAGCAGGCACATGCAGCAGAGAGAATCAATGGCAAGTGGAGGGTTTGGGGCATGGTGGACTGGCCACTGCCTCCACCTTCAGGGAGGCAGCAGGCTGGACTGGGGACTTAAGCTTTGCCCATTCACTGGTACAGTCCTTCTCTCAACTGTGAGACAGATTCGTTTAAGGTTAATCACAACTAAGAGAGACCCTTCCTGCTTTCTTCTTTTCTTCCTATGTGCAAGCCCCATACCCTGTCTGCTAGCCAGCATTCTAGGCTCCCTGAAGGTGAAATGCATTTCCATGCATTTTTGGTTAGCAGCTGATGAGAGGAGATGAGCAGAGGACAGCTGCTTCCCTTCTGTGAGGTCCTGCACACACCTGCCAGCGCGTGGCATGACACATTTGTGGCAGTGTGGAAACTTTACCCTAAAGTCAGGCTACTGCAAAATAAAACGAAAGTCCACTGAATAAGGCAGAAATGTAGGAGCTTAAAGTAAAAATTTTAAGCAGAGACTGGTGGCATTTGGAAACTATGAAGAAGGTATTTTCCTCATCTCAGAAAAAAAAATACTGTTTTATCACTTTTATTTTTATATGAAGCCTCTTTAGTTTTTGACACATAAGGCTCTGTGAGACAGGCATCTTGGGGAGCAGAGGGAAGGGCTTGCTCCAGGAGGGTTGGTCCTGTGGAGTCTGCTGCATCCACAGCGGCTACTCTTGGGGCTGGGGAGGCTCACATCTTTGCTTTGCTAGTGAAAGCCAGGCGGACTGGGTGCCCAGGTAGAAGCAATGTCATAAACAGGCGCTCCTCAGAGCAGAGACCGCCAGGCTCCAGGGGTCAGTCTGGCTTCTGCATCTCAGTGAGCAGGCATTATGACTTGCTTTGGAGATGGGGAATGCTGGTTGACAGTTCTGGAAAGGACTTCAAAGACAAATCACTTCCACCATGGAGGCAACATTCAGGCAGCTTAGAGAGGAAGCCAACTCTCAGGCATCTCATCTCTCAACCCAGCAGAGCCCATGGCCCTAGCGCAGGTTCTGGAACATGCTGCAGGCAGCAGGGTTAATGCCTCCTGGAGCCAGGATGCCCCAGCATGAGGACTGTCTTCCTGGGAGCTGGCATCCCAGCCAGCACTCAACACGTTCTGCTCAATGATGGAACCAATTCACCATCAGTTATCAGCAGAATTTATTACCCACTGACGCAGTAAGGTCTGGAAGGACTTTTCAATTAAGATGACTTTTAAAAACAACACCTGTAAGCCCTGTTTACCCTGATGTGATTATTACGCATTGTATGCCTGTATCAAACTATCTCATGTAACCCATAAATATATATACGTAGTATGTACCCACAAAAATAAAAGTTTTTAAAAATAAAATTACACTTGTGATACTCCTCAGCTGAGATCAGCGGGGCTGAGTGTGCATATGCCTATCGAGTCCTTTCCTGTACACTCACATGAACACACACGGATATGGTTGTCTGTGGTTGTTTTATAGAAACGGGATTGGCCGGGCGCTGTGGCTCACGCCTGTAATCCCAGCACTTTGGGAGGCCGAGGTGGGTGGATCACAAGGTCGGCAGATCGAGACCATCCTGGTCGACATGGTGAAACCCCGTCTCTACTAAAAATACAAAAAATTAGCTGGGCATGGTGGCATGTGCCTGTAATCCCAGCTACTCAGGAGGCTGAGGCAGGAGAATTGCCTGAACCCGGGAGGTGGAGGTTGCGGTGAGCTGAGATCGCGCTATTACAAGAGCCTGGGTAACAAGAGCGAAACTCTGTCTCAAAAAAAAAAAAAAAGAGAAACTGGATCTCAGTTCCTGAGATCCCAGCCTCTTGGCACCTCACAGACTGCAAATGCTAAGTTGGTGACTTCAAGGACACAGATGAGTCAATAAAGTCCCTGCCCTGAAGTAGCCATGAAGCTAGTGGGAGAAAGAAATAGACTGAATTTTACATACGGCCACACGGAGAGCCCTGTGAGACTGGATGTGCCCAGGATGATGGGAACAGTGTGGGGGCATCTGGGGAGGCGGCACAGTTACACTGCCCAGGGGTGTGGGGACCAACACCATAAAGGTCAAGAGAAGATGTCAGAGAGTGAGTGGCACAGAGCCCCTCTTCATGTGAAGAAAGGCTGTGCCTGTAGGGTCCATCTGGTCTGGCTGCTGCCGCAGACCGGATTAACCAAGGGCCTGGGACAGAGTGCGTTCTCCCCGGACTAAAAGCTAAACGCAAACGAAGGCATCTGCCTCATGATGTGCTCTTTCCAAACAGGGATGTGGATCCACAGGGCCCAGCTGGACATGTGGCAGCTTCTGAGGCGCAGTGCTCTGCGTGGTTTCCATGACATGGGTTCTTCCCAAGGGGACTCCTTGGATGACAGATCTATACATTTTTAAGAGGGCAACCCCTCTGGCAAACCCTGCAAGAGCACTACGGAGCACGTGGCTCCCCGCATGCTCCTCCTTTGGGATAGGCCCTGTGCTCAGGGCCATTTGGGGTCACCAGCCCTGTCGGACCTGAGGCAGGAATCGGGGCCACCCAAGAAAGGTGAGGCCTAGGGAGGAATGGCCTAGGAGAAGAGACTGAGGTTTTATGCAGGGCAGGTGAGGCCTTAGATGCTGAGGGTAGGGGAGTAAGAAATGGTGCATGTCCATGTGTGAAACAGCCTGGCCTCCTGTTTCACACACAGGCAGAATGTGGCGAGGCTGGGCCCGGGAGAAGTGACACTTAACTGTTCCAAGCATCCTCTTTCTCTCCACCATTGTCTCAGAGAGTTTTTCAGACTCTATTCCACCTCCCTCCACAAGCCACTTAAAGTCCCAATTCACGGCCAGCCCTCCTGGGAACCCCACTGCTGCTCTACATGGTGCCTTCCCTTCCACCAAAGCCATGAACCTGTGTCACAAGAACCTGGCAGCAGCATCTCACTTATCCCCACAGGGCAGCAAGTGCTCTGGTCGCGGTGCACAGTGGACCAGATTCAGGTTCAAGCCCAGAACTGTGGGATACATTGAAGGGCACAGTGGGGACCCTCCTCGTCAGGGGCTTATAAATCACTTAGGTAGACCAGGGTTCCCTGCACCAATAAAAGCAAGTGTGTGGACTTCTGCTTCCCAGAAGTCATGTAGTTCTTCCAATCCCTCTGCAAAGTGCAACAAAAACCTTGGATGTTATATACAAAACAAACGAGATAAGACGCAGGAGAGAACTCACACTAGCTGGGGCCTCAGGACCTGAGAAGCAAATGGCAGCAGCTCCCTGAGTTTTAGCCTCGTCATCCCAGACTTTGGAACCGAAGGCACCAGCAACCTGGACACACTAACGGGCACGTACCGAATAGCCCCAACACAAATCTGCCTGCTCTGTCTATACAAAGACCAGAGAGAGGCACCCTAAAAGCATGGAACACAGGTGGACAATAACTGCCCTGCCTGCTGCACCCCACACACAGCCTGGACCCTCACCTCCTTGAGGCTGGAATGGGCGCCCAACAGCCCCTGACCTTGGCTTTGGTGCTACGGAGACTAAGCAGGGAGTGAGGACCTGGACTTTTGTCTTTTTTCCATGGGCCCCACAGTCCTGAGGGGCTTCTCCTGTCTCAAAACACTCAGGGGCCATCCTAACACTCCTTCCTCCCAGCCAAGTCCCAGCTACTGCAAATCCCTTCGCTGCACTCCAGACCCTCCAAACCTGGAGGGGTGTTGTCTAACCAGCTTTTAACTTTCATGGTTGGGTGTCTTCTGCTGGGTCCACACTACCCTTCACCTCACATCTGAATGTTGTGTCCACAGTAAGAGGATGAAACTACTGGGTAGTGGGCCTTCAAGGACTTGAGCAGAGGGGAGCCTTGTTTACCCACCAAATGATAATGTAAAATATAATTCTAGCCAACCACAAATTAAACATTTCAAAGATATGTCTTTGCCTCTAAATAGTAAAGTTTTTTTTTAAACAAAACATGGTGTTGAATTGTTAACCTCCAGGAATTTGCCAGAAAACATTATAATTTGACATTTTTGCTGGGCGTGGTGGCTCACACCCATAATCCCAGCACTTTGGGAGGCTGAGGCAGGTGGATCACCTGAGGTCAGGAGTTCAAAACCAGCCTGACCAACATGGTGAAACCCATCTCTACTAAAAATACTACAATTAGCTGGGCGTTGTGGCATCTGCCTGAAGTGCCAGCTACTAGGGAGACTGAGGCAGAAGAATTGCTCGAATCCGGGAGGCAGAGGTTGCAGTGAGCTGAGATCGTGCCATTGCAGTCCAGCCTGGGCGACAAGAGCAAAACTCTGTCTCAAAAAAAAAAAAAAAGATCATTTCCACTGATTCCCTAACAAAGCTACCACTTTGTCACCATCTGGACCTGCAAACAAATGTCGTGACTGTTCCCTTGTATTTTTCTTTCTGAGATGAAGGCAGGCATGTCAGCGGCACACAGCCTCAGCTCATGGACACCATATGGTCAGGTTGGCACCTACACAGCACACCACCCCAATCATAGTGGCGACTTTTTTTCTTTTTTGAGTAGTATTTTAAATGTTCAGGTAAATGTCCCCTGTAGAGAGCTTCAGACAAGGAGGGGAGGTGCGTGCACCTTTCATCCTGTCCTGGCTCCTTACATCCTGAGAGCGAGACAGCCCACAGGGCACTCACCCCACACTTCCACCTTCCCAGGGAATTTCAGGGGAGTGCACTGGCCCTCCCTGCAGACCAGGGAGGTGTGATCCTCCCCCTACCGTAAGGGGGCTGTT